GCCAGAGGGGCAGACGACAGAGTCCGATGATGGGAGAAAAAAAAAAAATCTCGACATGGTGCTCTCATGAGTACATTCCGGCATTCATTCCGGATGGATCACTCGCACTTCATAGATACTATCACGTACACCACGACCACAATCATGAACGTGTGTGCTGTGTGTACTTCGTAGAACACATGCACCATCACCACTACTACATTATGCACGTGTGTGATGAATGTAGAAAAATAAAGCCAGCGCAAGGTCAAGACCGAGGAGGTGAAAATACATCAGACAGGTCAGATGGTCACAGACCGTCTATAATCTCGCGTTTGTCTAGCTGGTGCGGGCGAGGGAGATGCAAGCAGAGCGATAGCCGTGTTCAACCGGTTCAGAAGGTCTTCGTTTGATCTCTACAAGCCCCTATCTCCTTGCGCACCGCGCGCGCACACGCGCCATGAAAAATGTCAAAGGAGCAGTTGCAGCAGTTGTTGCAGTATCGTGCAAGTAGTGGCAACATTTTTTTCCGGACCCGGATTCTTCTCCGACGGCGGCGAGCTGACATACATGTGCCCCGAACGACCAGCTTCGCCGTGCTGTCATTTACTTGCCGCCCTCCAACCACCTACAGCGGTATTACCCACCGTTGTTTCCTCTCTCCAAACACAACGCATAACGCGGAGCCATAGAGTGTAGGCATCGTCGCCGTGCGCCCAGTCAACAAACAAGATGCGGCTTGTGCTCAATGCTACGGCGCTGCTCTGCTTCCTGGAATGTGCCGCGGCCCACACAAGCCATACCAGCCATTCCGATCATGACCATGGAAGCCACTCGGACGAGTCAAGCCACTCGGACGGGGAGGGCCACTTCGAGGCGGCCGCGGTGTACGACGTGGAGGCGGGCACCAACTCTCTGGCGGCCTACCCCGGGGGGGGAAGCTTCGAGGAAGTGACTTTCGCGTTCATGGTTGTACCCGCTGCTTCTGCGGACCTTGAGGGACTAGGGGCAGCAGAGGAGGACGCTGAGGCTGGTAAGTGTGTCGCCAATATCTTTGGCCAAATACAAAACGGTTGGCACGCCCGGGGTGTTCTGCCTTCACGGAGCGCGTCCCGCTGCAGACTACGTGTGGTTGATCTCGCTGCTGGATATCCTCATGCAGCATGGATGTATGCCCGTCAATGTTTTTTGCATAGCCCCGACGAAGACTTTGTGCGCCAACACCCCCCCGGATATCGGCGGGCCATCACAACATTTTTTCCGGTTTTTATGGAGGGTAGTGAGCGAAAAGCGAAACTGGTGCGTTGCCGTGTGAGTGCTTATTTGCGATGGAAGTCGGTGTCGGGTTGGCGCCCCAAGAGCGCGCTCCCCCCCCCCCACTCTGCTCATCCATGTCGAGAACATTCCGTCTTCTTGGCAACCAGACCATGGGGGACGTGTGAAAAAGCAGAATATAATATGTCGCCGTTTCTTCTTACGTAGTTGAACCTTCGCTGCTGTTGCTGTCTGTTTTACCTCACTCTCTTCGATGAACAGAATCGATATTCTATCACGTATCGCCGACAACCCTGAGGTGGATCAGTGCACTCGCTTCCATGTTTTGTCTATCCGATCTTTGGGTGCATGGGTCGCCACCGGCGAGATGAACACCTGAATGCGATCGAAATCCTAAGTTATTGTCCTTCAACACGCGCGGGGCTGAGGTGAAATCTCTTTGCGCGTCGTCTCTGGTTCATTCGTTAGCGAACAAAAGCCAGTAGAACCCTGTTTCTGTCAACCTGGCGATCGTATGGAAGAGCAATCTATAACAGAACAGGACTGGGGGGCGCATGGGCCGGCCCGAATTGTATCCAAGCAGCGGTACGATATTGACTGTTAAATGACGCAGGTCCGAACCGTTCAGGTCCGAACCCGAGACAGCAAGCAGTGCTTGACGTTGAACAAGTAAGCTTCAAGTCTTGGTTTTCAACCGCAGTATCTTTTCTATTTAGTCTCCCTCAATCATGTTTCGACGTCCCTCTCGGCGGGGCGGCGACAGCGAGCGGTAGACTACTCCGCGTGGCAACATTGGTGGCAGTCACTGTCGAGACAGCTACCGAAAGAAGGATGCCCAAATTGAAGGCGTGTAGAGAAGAACGGCTTTCGTGCGGTCTGTTTGATTTGAGCGGTTCGGTGGTCCTCAGGCCCGGAATCCATTATTGAGTGCGATGCTCGTGTGCGCCTGGCTCGAAAACGATAGAAAAGATCCAAGCCAAGGCGATATTAGCTCAAGGCACACGCTGGGAGAGAATCTTCTTTGCAAGCAGACTGCGATTACGCGCAAAAACTCATTCATACTGAGACCTGTAGAGCTGTAGAGTCTCCGACGTGTTCCCAGGTCAAATCATCCCTCCATCTTCTCAAGAACGAAGCCTTGCGGCTGTTTGATACCGCTCCTTTCAGGCACCAACCCAGATCGAAAACCTCGCTCTTCGCCTAGTCAGGCTCACACATACACGCGCGTGGATCGGCACACAGCTTGGAACGCGAAACAACTGGTAAAATCCTTCCGCTGTACAACGAAGACACCGACCCGTCTCCAACGTCATCGAGCTCTTGCTTGTTTCACCATTAGACTAGTCAGCGCTGACTGTGTAGTCTAATGGGGTAAGCCTATATAACAAAAGATACACTCTCGGCTCGTAGCCACCCGGCTGGTCACTGGGAATTTATGGAAGTAGGGATCTCCGGGGACGGACCCCTCGCCAGGCGCTGCAGGGAAATAACTAAGGGCGCTTGTGAAAGTGACCAGCCGGGTTTCGAACCCGTGCGTGTATCCTTTGTTACAAATGTTAAACCATTAGACAAGTCAGCGCTGACTAGTCTAATGGTTAACATTTGGAGCTCAAGGATGCACGCACNAAAAGATACACTCTCGGCTCGTAGCCACCCGGCTGGTCACTGGGAATTTATGGAAGTAGGGATCTCCGGGGACGGACCCCTCGCCAGGCGCTGCAGGGAAATAACTAAGGGCGCTTGTGAAAGTGACCAGCCGGGTTTCGAACCCGTGCGTGTATCCTTTGTTACAAATGTTAAACCATTAGACAAGTCAGCGCTGACTAGTCTAATGGTTAACATTTGGAGCTCAAGGATGCACGCACGTCACTTTCCCAAGCACCATTAAGTTCTTTTCAGGCAGCGTCTGGCGAGGGGTCCGTCCCCGGAGATCTCAACTCACGAACCCAAAAATGTGATCCAGCCGGGTGCAAATGAGCTCTGAGCATATCTTTTGTAAGATAACCTTACACCATTAGACTAGTCAGACAGGTCAGCGCTGACCTGTCTGACTAGTCTAATGGTGAAACTTTATCTTACACCCCCCACCCACCCACACATCATGCTTTTCGTCGCTGGTCACCGAGGTTGTAAAACATGCCGATCGCTTCGTGAGCTCGACAACCTGTTTCTTCTACCATGATGGTGGTCGAGTAGATCATGTTGTGCGGGGTCGAGAACTTTCACTAGAGGGATGATCGCACTGCGCTGTGTTAAGGTACGTTGGTCAAGCACCCCCGAGGCAGTTACACAGTGCTTGTAACTCTCCCAGGAAGCACCAGAAAATAAGTCAAGTCATTTGCAGCTGTCATCCGTTTGCAAGGAAGTATGCTGAAGATGCAGAACACCATTAGCAGCATGCAACGCACTCTCCATGCGACTCGTCGAATACCTCACGGCGCTTCGCGCTTGGCTTAATGAGAGCCTGATCCGGTGAAGACCCGGCGTGCTCCGTCCCGGCTTTGTCGGGATACGACGTCCATGGTCTAACGACTACGGCATGCACGGCTATGAGCGCAACCCCCCGGGTAGCCCCATGCAACAGACCCCACCTCCCAAGACCTTCCTGTCCTCCTCGGCAACCAATTTTTCACGAGTTGACAATCGTCATTCTCCTCTATACCTGCTCCTGTCACGCCCACCCACCCTCCCGCTCGCCCACGCTCTCCCCTCCACCAGCGTGGGACGAGTACACCAGCGGCGCCGAAGATGCTACCGTTCTGGCTTCCGGGGAGTCGGCCACCCCGTCCGCCGACGTGGTCTACCAGGTCACTCTCGAGGACCCCCTGGTGCTGGTGCCGGTCGACGTTACCGCCGCCGGCGCGTACGCCGTCTTCCTGGAGCACGGGAGCGACGAAGTGGGCACCGCTCTTGTTTCCCCCTCGGGCGACGTCTTGGTGGTCGGGGCGGAGGAGGGTGGGGACGATGACGGGGACGACGAGGAGGAGGAAGTGGAGGATGAGACAGGGACTGCAACGGCGGGCAAGTGGGGGAACGCGCTTGTGGCGTCGCTCGTCGTGTCGGCTTGCAGGTCAGTAGTGTAGTAAATCATCCAGATAGTGGGACCTTCCGCCGAGAATCAGTCTTGACCGTATGCCCTCCGAGTCCCCCGGACGTCGGCTCTGCCCGAGTCTAGTTTGCTACAGCGTATGTCCTCCGTAACACCCCTCTTGTGTACCCTCGATGGTCCACTTCCCCCCCCGCCAGCACCCGCAGCGGCATCTCGGCCTGTCAGTAGTGATCGACAACACAACAAGTGGAGTATCGACGTAGGGATATATGATACTGGATTTCAAGTAATTGAAATATTTCTTATGTTTAGGATAAGTCATCAAACACGGGGCAAGCGTATACACAGATCCCCAATCGCCCCCCCCTTGCGAACGAAACAAAAGCCATGCTCTTCTTGTCTATTGTTGGGGTGCGCTTGCAGCTTCGCCGGTATCGTGGTGGTGGCCAGCAAGCACGTGGCGAACAACGTCGACCTCTCGCACGCCTTCGTCTTCGCGTCCGGCGCGCTCCTGACGGCCGCCCTGCTGCACATCATCCCCGAGGCGCTTGAGGGCCTCGAGGAGTCGTACGACAGCCTCCACGACCTGGGTCTGTACGCCGGCCTGGCCGTCATGGGTGGCATGTCCCTGGGCATCGTCCTCCACGCTCTCTTGGAGTCGGGCCACTCCCACTCCCCGGGCGAAAGCCAGTCACACGCGCCGGGAGCGGTCGAATCGGGAGGCGGCGGCGCCAAGGCATCCGCAGATACCGGCACGACGGAGGCTACCCTCCCGCCGTCCCCCGTCGAGTCTAACTCGGACAATCTCCAGGCGTTGATCGCCGCGAGAGAGGGGAAGTCGCTGCTGGACGTCAAGGGGCTCGAGCCGGTGTGCTGGAATGTGATCGCGGGCGACCTGGTGCACAACGTCGCGGACGGGGTGGCCATCGGGGCGGCGTTCCTGAGCTGCAGCACGACCATGGGCTGGACCGTCGCCGCGTCCGTGGTCCTCCACGAGGTACCCCACGAGGTGGCCGACTTCATGGCGCTCCTAAAAGGGGGCATGAGCCTCATGCAGGTGCGGCCGTGTCGCGTGGTGGGGGGGTGGTCGTTCCATGGTACGCGGATGGGCTAATCCGCTAGTTTGCGGCAAACAAACTAGGTGTGTGGTGTCGTGGGGGTTGTGAGCTAGCAGGCTTAGGTGACCCTTCGACTGAGGGTCGGTGGTGCTAATTTTTTTCCATGTTCGTTGTCTGACTTTCGATGGACCAGCGTAGCTGCTGGATCTGCTACCGCCGACGCCACATTTCCATGTTTTTCCAGCGAACACATTCCCACCAATCATGAGCTGGCTTACTGTGCGTCTCTCTCGTGTATGCACCGCTCTCTACGCCCACTGCATATTTTTTTTGCGATACCGCCGCAGGCGTTTGTCTACAACTTTCTGTCGGCCCTGTCGGCCGTGCTTGGCACCGTCATCATCCTCGCGGTGCAAGACACGCTAAGCGAGAAGGACATCGCGATCGTGCTCCTGGTTGGCGCGGGGTCCTTCATCTTCATCGCCCTCTCCGAGCTGCTGCCGGGAGCTCTCACCGTCGCCGCCCTCGTCGCCAGAAAGGGCGGGGGCGCCATTGCGCGCTCTCAGGTGCTCAAGCTGGGATCGTTCCTTCTGGGGGCGATCGTTATCGGCATCCCTCTGCTCTTCGACGAACACTGCGGCACCGGCCACGATCACGACCATTGAATTGATCGCACTAAGACACAGGCGCGGTATGTTTCTGCAACGGTTAGGCCGTCATGGCTTCCGAGGGCGCCACTATTCTAGCAACGTGGTTTATTGGTTCGCAAGCTGGGTCTAGGCAACGAGTGTTTGTTTTGGTCTCGAGTGCTTTGGCCGTTCGGTTGCGATCAAGCAGTTGTACATATATTTCAATCACGCATGAATTGTTCCGTTTTGGGCCACACCCCGCGCGCGAAGAAAATATTTCACGAAGTTGGAGATACTTGTATGGCACACCTGACGAAACCGCTGTGAGACAGGCCTATAGGCCTTGCTTGTTTAATGTCGCGTGTGAGTCATGCTGAAGTTGGAAAGGGGGGCGGGCGGAGGTTTCCAGAAATGGGTGTGCGTGGGGGTGGGCGGTGTACTCATAGTCGTGCATGCCGTAGTCGTTTGACCATGGACCTCGCATCCCTACAAATCCGGGACGGAGCACGTCGGGTTCTCACCGGACCAGGCTCTCACATCACCAAGCGCGAAGCGCCGTGAGGCATTCGGCGAGCCGCATGAAGGGTGCGCTGCANAGAGACAGTTGTAAGCACTGTGTAACTGCCTCGAGGGTGCTTGACGAATTTGACACAACGTGGTGCGATCATGCCCCTTGTGCAGAGCAATGGTTCTCGACCCCGCACAACATGATCTACTCGACCACCATTATGGTTACCGCAAAAAAAAAACAGAGGTAATAAAAAGACGGCAATCTGGTTCCCGAGTTCACGAAGTGACTTGGCTTGTTTTACAATCTCGTTGCCAAGCGACGAAAACCCCATCCCGATGGCAAACATCGACGGGAGGGGCTTGTTTTACAACGTCGTTGTCAAGCGACGAAAACCCAACCCCGATGGCAAACACCGGGGGGCGGCGGCTTGTTATACAAACGCCGTTGCCAAGCGACGAAAACTCAACCCCGATGGCATACACGGGGCGGGTAGCATGTTTTACAACGTCGTTGCCAAGCGACGAAAACCCAACCCCGATACCAAACGTGGGGGGGGGGGGGGGGGGGGGGGGGGGGGGGGGGGGGGGGGGGGGGGGGGGGGGGGGGGGGGGGGGGGGGGGGGGGGGGGGGGGGGGGGGGATGGGGGGATCACAATGCAAACCCCGTACTGTAGATGCGTTCGAGACGCGCAAGCCTGAGTCGTCTGAGCATTTGAACCTACGCCGTTCTCTCATTGGTGTTAGGCCGGCAGATCAGCTTGTCGAAGGAGGCGTGTTGTATTTATTGTCGGGTTTTCAATTGCAAGTATTTTGGGTCCGGGGTCCGACTTCGAGCAGATTCCTGGGTGAAGCGGGAGAGGGCCGGGGGGCTGGAGGCTAATTCGACAGGGCGGGTGTTTGTGGTCACACCACATTTTGTTTGTACCAATGATGGGCTATCTACCTTCTTCAGACCAGTTTGTCGCTCCTTGTGTGGCAGGCGCCATGGGCACATGACATGCAGAGACGACCTGTTTAGGTGGGTTGGTTGGGGGATTCATTGTGCGATTCTGCACACTGTCCTGGGTATGTATGGTGTGGTACCATCTAGCACAAGGTTTAGTATCAAAAGGAGTAGGTATCATAATTGGTGTGGTACTTCTATTTGTTTGGCGAAGCGTCTTTGCAAATTAAGAGCTGCTCTCATTGGTTCACATTTTGGGAGAGAGGTGGTTATTGCATCGGTGTTGAATCGCATGCCATACATCAGTCGGTATGTAGGATGTTTTTGTCTCTTTCGGGAGCATGGATACCTTCAGACAACGCATTGACTTGCTATTTTCATGTTGGAGGCGTTTTGGCGGGCGGTGTGTACGAAGCAGCAGAGGGGTGTACAAAATTGTAGTGTTGTCTGAGTGTTCCCATAGTTATTATCGTAAATGGGTTAACCTTCGTAGATCCCGGGTTTGGGCCGTTTTAGTGTGTTTTGCATGTGCACATGTCTCGTAGTAAGCTCGATGCACGCTAGTGGCTGCCGTGTTTGTACTATACTGTATCACCCTGTCGAAATGTGAACTAGCAGCGTCTGCCGTGGCAATAAAATAGGTATGCCCTAAAGCGGTGTCTGCCGGAGATGAGGTGACGAGCGTGCCCCTGAAACCGGCGGATCGTTTGAGCGATGTACTGCATAATACTACCGTCGTTGACCTGTTGATTCGCTTTTCGCCGGGCGTGCTGGAATTACGCGGACTGAGAAGACGGGAAAAGAGGAATACACGGGAGTACTCCAAGCTGTTGTGAATCGCTAATACTGCTGCGTCAGAGCTCTCAGAGATCTGGAAAAAACGCAACAGCGCTGTTAGACCCGAGAGTAGTTTCAGGTGAACGGAGAGAATACCTACATGTGGTTTCAGAGACATGCATGTTGGTATCCTATGACCAAGAGACTTTGATGAGCGAGACGCCGAGCGGTGATAGCGTAAGCAGCGCGCGTGACTAGTAGGACGAGGAATCCATTGGTACTGGACCGGTGAGTATGTTGAGTCAAACAGCAACGATGTGTGCCAACAACGCCGCCGGTGAAAATCGAAGCTAAACCAACTCAAAAAGAAGATTCCTCATCTGTGTTGGGTTCGAATTGTCGGGAGAACTTTCTTGTATTTCGCAAGCAGAAGAGAGGGGGAGAGAAACTGAGCGCCGCGGCAAATCACCCCCCGGCCAATACTCACCCAACGAGTTATTTTCCAGTGAAACTCGAACGAGGTGTCTCCATTCTGAGAGAAGAGTTGAGAGCGCGACCTTGAAGGTGAGACATGAAACTCGAACCGGTAGGTGCTTCTATGATGACACGCATGGCATGCTTTCTTCAAGCAGGCGTGGCACAATGCGCAATAGGTGATGTCTGTTTTACGGAAGTGTGGAGGGAGCACAACAACACCAATTGCTCTCCAGACGCATTCTCCCTGCCGCATGGGATGTAACCCCGTGTGCCGCACGGACATGAAGAGCCATGGATGGCATCGCACATCTTGGTTCCACGTTGATTGTGGCACCCCAAACCACGTGGGCCTCTTATGCCACAGTTCCCAAACGACAAACAGTGGGGGGGTGTCATAGTCGTGCATGCCGTAGTCGTTAGACCATTGACCTCGCATCCCTACAAAGCCGGGACGGAGCACGCCGGGTTCTC